AAGAGCTTCTTTCCCTCATGGTAAATCAGGCTGTCTCAGTCTTTCTTCCCTGTTGTCATTTTTTGTGTGTTCCTTCAGCAAGTCCATAATTTCATTTTCATATTCTGGTGGTGTGGGTTCAACACCTGAAAAAAAGTAATATGTGTGATAACTTTATAACATGAAATACATAGAAAAAACTATTAATTAAACAATTTATATGATATATCATATAATGTACTTCAAACACTATACTAAATTTCTGGCCCTAAAAGTATGTTCATTTTCCTTCAACTAACAAAGTTATTTGAACACTTACAGTAAAACATTTCATCCATTTTGACTCTTTCACTATGGGGAGAATTAACCTTGTTTTCACTGATATGTAATATTATAAAGCATAAGAATGAAAAATTTCAATATTTACCTGTTATCCAGTAATAAATATCCCAGTCATTATCTGGTTGGTTAATGAGGTGGTCATACATTTTTAGTTGCCTTTCATCAAAACCATTTAGATATTTGGAGGCAAAGGTACTGAAAATAATGATGAAAAAAATGATATGACCATAGGATACAGACTTCTCTCTCTTTTTTCAAGTTCCTTTAAACAACCTAAAAGGAAATGATTACATTCAACTGCTCTTTCCTGAACTCAAAGCTAAGCCTATTCCTAAAGTTTATTCATGTGAAAGTTGCTACTTAAAGCCAGTTTTTTTTTTTTTTTTGTGGACTCACCTAAGTAAAAGCCCATTCTCTGACATCCCCCTTTTCCTACTTTGATAGAGTAACCGTGCCCTCCTTTCTTCTACTGGCTCATTCAGTTTCTCTGGATAAGGTGGTATGGGAGGAATCTCCATCATGGGATGTATGATGTTTGGCTGGTCGGACTCCGATGACATGAGACGTATGTTTGAGAATGTTGGTTTTGCCTACAGTACAGGAAGAATACAAATACACATGGACGTAAGGGTATATTACTCTATTCAAGCAATACATGAAATACAAATAAGCCTGAAATGACAAAATTGTGTCCCAACACAGTTAGTGCTTTAGTCTTGACCTTCAAAGTTCAACTACTGCCGTACTGTAACGTACTGCATCACAATAACAGTAAAACACACCTTAAAGTTCCATAATCTATGCAAAAAAACAACATCAAATGCCATTATATAACATATACCGTTTTACATCGAAGAAATCCGGCCCAAACTGCTGAACACATTCTTTTAGCCATTCTTTCCACCTTTCGTAATGTGCATCTGTGAGACGGCTTCACCTAGTCACCTTGACCTAAACATATCCGTCAGCTGTCTCGATATCAATGTGATTTTAAAATAATGTTTACTGGAAAACGAGGCTGCATGTTGTAAACACGGATTTCCCGGGATTTTCCACAATTTTTTAATAAATTGATTAATAAATTATTTCCAAAATGATTTTATATAAAAATGCCCAACAAAGCATATTCAAAATTTTGTCAGAGTATGTATTTTGCTAGTGAATAAGATAATATTGCGCTATCGCCTTCATCGTGCTTGTCTTGTGACCTTATTTAAAGCACTAGATCGTACCAATGCGGGCTTGTTCAATTTATTCAGGGAGGATAGGGTTTAACGTTACGATATTTTGCAAACAAAATAATGGATAAAATTAGATCAAATGACAACAATTTGGCCTTCCATTTTTCATATATCTTTCAAACCATTACTGATATTCCTGGTTTGTCTTATCATCTTGGTATTGCCTAAATGACTGCTTCTACAAATGTACTTCATCTTCCTATTTGCCTTTAGGAAAGGTTCATAGTTCAGGTCAACCGCATAGTTCACATGAGAAAAGATGTCTGAGCTAGATGCCGGTGTCCTGCATGTGGACATGAAAATTGACGATAAAAATGTATCTGAAGGAGCGATGGCACTTTTACAAACTGTGAAACCCAGTTGGAAGAGCGAAGATGTGAAAATTAAGGTCTGATTTAACGGGCATTTTTATTTATTTGGCAACCAAGCTTACTTGCACTGCTGCTAGCTCACCTGTACATGCACAGACGTTGTGCGTTAGTGTTACTGTTCATATTATGTCTACCCCGATATATACTCGTAAGCGAAATTGACCTGCTACAGTGTTAAGAAACTGAGGGTCCGTGACTCAGACCCCCTCCCCTCCCCTCCTCCGTTAGATTTATACAGGTAATTGAGTTAGAATCTTTGGGCTCCATTCCCAGTGACACTGTCGGTCTTCAAAGATTGATCCAAATCTGCAGGGATCCACTAAAAGAAATCAGCTTAACTGAATGACACGCCTGGATGACTTCTTTTCAACATACGTACTGGTATAATCACCAGATTTCCCGTGTTCTTCTCAAAGCCAGGAGAGGAGGTGTGTTTATCTGTTAAGCTGTTTGCATTCAGTGAGAGTCCCCGCAGAGTTGGATCAATCTATGTAGACTGATTTAAGTGTCACTGGGTATAAGCCCTAAGATGAGGCTTACAGAACTGTTCAAGTCAGTGGGAACAAGGTGCTGTATTACAGTGGACTCTTGTACATGACAACTCTTGTACTTTGAAGTTTTAAGATGTATTTTACTGTGCTCATTGATGCATTTGAAGCAGGTTAACGTATCAAATCATTGGCACTTAACCCGATCAAATGACACCCTTATAGTTTCCTACAGCATAACTCGATCAGAATAATACCAATTGTGGATCATTGCATTCATATTTCCAAAAAAAAAAAAAAAAAAAAAATGTTATGAAAAATTATGATTGTTTGTTGCACATGCAGTAGTAACATGTCATATATTGCTAAGGTGTTTGGTGGATTTTTACAATCAGGAGGGTTGGATAAATAGCCAGGTCAAATTTACGGTAAATGGCTAGGTCAGATTTACGACCAGAAAGCTGATCTGACTTAGTGATAAATTTGGTGTATCCTTTGGCATGTGGACTTAATTGTTTGAGATGTAATTACAAGACACTGGTACTATAATAATAATAATAATAATAATAATTTATTAAGATTGCTAGTTACTAGTGATTTATATACTTTACAGGGGATCTATGTTAGCTTCATATGTAATTTTAAGATTTATACACATTCAGCATGCCAACAGCCACAGGCAAAAGAGCCTGGGTAACATTAAACAGTATGCTACTCACATATGCATGCACAGTACTTACAATGTGCATACATACTCATAATACTCCGGGCCCGTTACTCCCACAGTCAGTTGAAAAAAGACATCGTCAAAGTCAGCATTTTGATTCATATCATGTTTTAATTTTTAATGCTAAATGTAGCAGAACAGCACAGATTGCTTTGCTGTGGTATATGCTTGATACTTAACAAGTGTCTGTGATTCCATATGATTGGTGAAACCATTTCTGATCCTTTCATTCGGTGAACACAAATTCAGTGAATGCAAATTAATAATATACAATATGTAACAACAGAATAAACTAAATTTATGTTCTCAACATAACTGAACAATTCAAAGTTTCAAACCCCATGGCTGCAGCAAAAGCTGTCATGGTAGAACACAGTTGTTATAACATGTAAAGAAGGTATACAGAAGATCATGTTATCATGATCATGGATCAAGGTGCCACACACAGTACACTAACATTTTCTACAATGTCTGAAAAGCATTAAACAAACTCTGTGTTTACAATCAAAAAATTTATAATGAAGCAAAATCTGTACCATTTTAAATTTTACAGGTTTTCACAGATGGAATAACCAACAAACTTGTTGGTTTATACCTTCCAGACAATCCTAGCGACACAGTGTTGGTCCGCATTTATGGACAAAACACAGAGCTGTTTATAGATAGAAAAAAGGAACTCCAAAATATGGTTTTGCTCCACAGCGCAGGGTGCGCTCCTGAGGTGTACTGCTCCTTCAATAATGGGCTGTGCTATGCATTTGTTCCTGGTGTTGTTGGAAATAGAGATTTGGTCAGGGATGAGAAAGTCAGAAAGTGAGTTGTGCACAGAGCTGTTTATGTTTGCGTACTTGCATGTATGTGCATTGATACATGTGCATGCATTTAAGTTGCATTTATTTAATTATTTGAATTGCACATTTTAAATAACATTTGTGAATGTATAAAAAGAAGTCCCCAAGCTTATTTAAAGAATTGTATTTTTTGATGTTTAAAGGTTAATATATTAGAATGATTATCCTTGCTACTGTATTCAGTCGATTATTTAAGAGTTTGGATAATTTCATGATTATCTTATGTGTAGTTTTTTCTCAAAGTTTTGTTGCAGTTGCTTTTTAAGGAAGGCAGTAAATCAAATGAACCGAAATTTCCATCATGAAGTTTGACTTTCCATAGACGATCACCATAGTTTATATAATGATCTGTTTTATCAGTTATCCTAATGTTGATATTGTTGTTTACATATCTACTAGTACATGCAGTTATCTTATGGAAATAATGTACATGTATCTACCTTCAGAAGGAAGTCACTCGATCAAAACAACAGAATTTTCCATCATGTACTCTAGTTTGACTTTCCAAAGATAATGAACAGTAGGTAAATAAACTCTGTGCTACAGTGTATCTATTCATGGCTGCTTGATGGTGCTGTTATATCAAACAGTGATATTATGGTGATATGGGTATTTACTTTGTAGGTTAATAGCCAAGGAGATGAGTAGAATTCATTCCATCCAAAATGCAGGCAGCATCAATGATAAAAAAATAAAAATCTCACCAGAAGCTATGGTGTTCAAGAAAATCAGGTCCTGGTTAGAACTGGTGCCAGATCATCTTGACAATACAGAGCAGGATGAAAGGTTGGAAGACATCACATGAAATAAAATATTGTTCCCTTTCTGCAATGTGGTGGAACTGTTATCTGTTGTAACTTAACATTTTTGACTGACAAAGTACATTTTCCATAAACTGTAGTCTTGTATTGCTGTTCTTGTTGATATTGTAAATTTTTGTCAAGGAACTTTTCTACAAATTGTATAGGCATTCTCCTAAGGATAGCTTTATTTGACAGTTAAAAATAAGATTCACAACTAAAATAAACAAATCTGACTGATATTTTAAATTTTATATATTTATCCTTGCTTGGTCTTACATTTTGTGAACATGAATGTGTATAAGTTTTTTAAAAAAGTAACAGGATACTGCTCGCTATTTGAAATGACCTGCATATTGACTTACTGCTATTGATCTGTACTGGGTTTGTATTTGATTGTTGTTTAATGAAAAAGATTAAATCAGATTACTTATGGTTTTGTGGACTTTTTTTGTCAGATAATGGATTCATGTAATATATACATTTTGCTCTTCAACTAGATATCAAAGAGAAATCAAGAAGAGGCATGAATTAGAAGCTGAATTATCTGAGCTCCAGGGACCATTAGAGGCTCTTAACTCACCAGTGGTGTTCTGTCACAATGACATTCTCTGTGCTAACCTTGTGTATGATGCAAGTCAAGGTACTTTAAATAAGAGCATCATTGTTGTATTATAAATATTTTTGTGTGGTTTTCAAAATAAATAAATAAATAAATAAATAAATAAAAAATAAAAATAATAATTTGCATTGCTTAATATGCATTTTAGCAATGTATCTTTCAAAGTTTTTTAAATGTGATTTTTTTCTTTTGATTTTAAAGGGATAAAAAGAGTAGAATGCACTGAAAGATAAGATACATTTATAAAACTTTTGATTGGTTTTGATGAAATTTTAAACAAAGTGGATACCAACTTACTTTTGCATTAAGTGCACATTGATAATTAAGATATAATGGTCTCAATTTTTTATGTACAGACACAGATGTGTCTGTACATATTGCCATCACCTGCGTCTGTCGTCGCCGTCGCCGTCGCCGATCATGTCGCCGTCGCCGTCGCCGTGCACTTTCAGCGTTAACACCATAAGTGGAAGACAGTTTTACTTTTGGGCTTTATATTTACAGAGCTGATGAATATTCATAAAACACAGGTCAAGTTCGAAAATCAGCATGATCGGGCCATTATTNTTTAAGTTAAGAAATTAATATATTGTGTCTCAAAAAATCGTAGATTACTGTCAGTTTTTGACTATTTTATGCAATATTCACTGACTGAATATGTATATGCAAATTTCATATTTAGATAAGGTGGTGTTCATAGATTATGAATATGCTGACTACAACTATCAAGCTTTTGATATTGGAGATCACTTCTGTGAATTTGCAGGTACTGTCCACTTTCCTTCCCCCCACTCTATTTTTCTCCTTTAAAGTGTATATTACATATATGATAACATTTTTTGTATTTTAAACAAAGTTACTGTTATTTTTAGAGACTCCAAGCACTTTGAGATATTTTTAGTGTAATTAAAAAAGAGAATAAATGAAAATAAAATAAAATGAAAAGAAAAAGATTGCTTCAAGACTTCTAATGTACCTAAGAAAGATAATGATAAATAAAAATTAAATAAAATGAAAATAGAAAGACTGCTTGAAACATTTTTGCTATAGTAGTTACACTGTCAGATTATTATTTTTTAATGCATTTCTCATTTCCTCAGGGGTGGATGATGTTGACTACTCTTTGTACCCTGACAAGGACTTGCAGCTGAAGTGGCTTAGAACTTATCTAGAATGTGAGAAAGAACTGAAAAATCTACCAGCAAGTGATGTGACTGACAAGGATGTAGAGATATTATATGTTCAAGTGAATAAATTTGCTCTTGTAAGTATATAATATATTTATATATTTGAATATAACAATTTACATTTATTAAACCTGTGGTGGTTCAGTTGATCATGTGAATGCATTCAACTTAATTGCCTGATATTCTAAAATTATTCTTTTTAATTCTTTGGGAAAATATAGAACAGTACTGCCGTGCCTTTTTTTTCAGTCTTAAAGCTCCACAAAAAGATCTTGCACCTTAAATATTGCATTTTTATGAGTATAATGTTCCCCCTTTAATTGCAGCTCGCCCATTTCTTCTGGGGAGTTTGGGCTATCCTTCAAGCAAGATTCTCAAACATAGAATTTGACTTTGTTCAGTAAGTTATATTTCTTAAACTACATTTGTTACTATTTTAATTAAAAAAAATACCAACTGACTATATCATTACAATATCAAACATATTTTTACATTCTGTTGTTTTAACTGATTTTTATGTGGAAAAGATTTTGAAAATTTGAATAGTGTGTTTTCATGAGCATTCATCTTGGTTAAAAAAAAAAACGAATCGATTGTATTTTTATGTTATTCATAATTGATATCTATTTTATTTATTATGTTATTTATTTTAATTTTTAGATATGCAGCACAGAGGTTTGGAGAATATTTCAATAGAAAGAATGAATTCTTAGCTCTGAAACTTCCACAGTAGAAAAAATGTATATCAAGCCTAAAAAAAAATATTGGTACAGATAATATCAATGACAGGTTTCTGTGGAACTCATAGAGAAAGCAGGTGTACATGTAGATAATTGGAAGTAAAATTTGCACAAATTGTATAATTGTGATCATGGTGTATTGATACAAGTATTTTTTGTATAGTTTCTTGCACAAAAGCTCCATGCTCATCATAACATACTGACATGGAAATCATATCCCTGGCCTCAGTTGTTTAAGACAGAATACAGGCACTTACAAACGCAACAATCAATTTTGCTGGCTATGTTCTACTATATAAAATACAATGCTGCCTCCACGTACATTTTCAGTCTTGGAGCTCAGTCCAGATGGCTCATCTCTGTAAATCATTTGAATACATTTACCTCACCATAGTACGCCATTCTAATGACATTTCATTCCACATAAGTTGTAGTGTGTGCATGTACTTGCATGCGTGCATTGGAGGCATATGTGCTTCCTACAGTGAACTGTTGTGATCATTTGAGATTCATATTGACTGGATGTTAAATATGCTGGCCTTATTGCACTGCATTTATTGTAACATTTATTTAGCTTCTACTTTAAGGGATATCTTTACTTTATACATTTGGTGTCAAGTCTGTTTTGCACAATTTACATATATACTGTTGAATGATTTGTACATTTAATTGTTATGATTTTGGATAATATTATTTTGTAGTGGTTTTATCATGTTATGAATATTTTAAAATCTTGGATAACAGTATGTTGATGTGTAAATTAAATCATAAAAATGGTAACAAAATTTGTCCTACTTAAATCATAGAACTTCTGAAAGGATAACAACATATTTAGAGTTGTATAAATTGGACTTAAAAGGACTGTTTTTGATACTTCAGTGAATGACGGAAAACCATGATCATCTTGACATTTTTTTTTTTTTTTTTGTAATAAACAATATTGATAAAAAATCATATTGATTTTATTGGGCATTTTCCTGAGCTGCACTTTTTATTTCCACTTTGGACTTTAAGTGAAAGTAAGTTTGATGTTAATATTAAACTTCAATAAAGACACTTGTCATCTCCAAACAAAAGGGCAATGGTTGAACTGCACAAATACAGCCTTTTCTGTTTAGTTTTTTCTTATGTTTAACTGAATGAAGTTTGTCTTAGTTTCAGTTGCTGATGGTGACTTATTTTAATCTATTTTGTGCTCTTTGGCACCATTCAAGTAAACTATACATGGTTATGGAAATAATACAGTTTTTAATTGAATGTGAATCTCCAATTAGGATGAATTAATTAAAGGTGCTCAGTGTAGGCTTTTCTCTCCAGCAAAAAACTCATACATAACTTATTTTCTTGAGGTACATGGTGATTTAACTCCACATACTGACCTTTGACCCTCCTTTCCAGATGTTAACATCCCTTATCCTATACTAGAGGGCGAGTCCTACAAATTCTGCCATACATTCGAGGACTGACTTTCATATGTTGTGCACAATTCCAAACTGTCAATTAAGATTGTTTTTTTTTTTTTTTTTTTTTTTTTTTTTGTTTGGGTTTAAAGTTTTTTTTTTTCCCCTTTAACTATTTTTTAATTGATTATTAAAATAAAAAATTTCATATGGGACCCATAAGGTTATTTTAAATGCTGCTGAAGGNTGAATCTCCAATTAGGATGAATTAATTAAAGGTGCTCAGTGTAGGCTTTTCTCTCCAGCAAAAAACTCATACATAACTTATTTTCTTGAGGTACATGGTGATTTAACTCCACATACTGACCTTTGACCCTCCTTTCCAGATGTTAACATCCCTTATCCTATACTAGAGGGCGAGTCCTACAAATTCTGCCATACATTCGAGGACTGACTTTCATATGTTGTGCACAATTCCAAACTGTCAATTAAGATTGTTTTTTTTTTTTTTTTTTTTTTTTTTGCTTGATGTGTTTAAAGTATTACTCTTCTCCCCTGTAACTATTTTTTCAATTGAATATTAGAATACAAGATCTCATATGGGACTCATATGGTTATTATAAATGCTGCTGAAGGTATTGTGGTTGGTGTGCCTGTGTATAGCACACATTCATGGTATTAGTATAACACATAACTCTAGAACTTGTGAAACACAATATCAGTGAGGTTTAAAACAAATGTTTTGCAGATGTGGATTATTTTTTAAAAAGTTCAGTTTTTGTTTGCTGTAAGTAGTTGGTTCATCACTGTCCAAACAACTTTATCTAGTATAATTACCAAAAAATCAGGTAGATTCATTATTATAGAACACAAGAAGAATTACATAACAGAACAGAAATAAAAACACCCACTATTTTATTTAACTTTGCTACATGAAGGAGGCTAATGTGTTTGGGTTAATTTCTCATAGTGTGATGTTAGACTACAGTCTATATTTTTTTCAATCTGTATACATTCCCTTAATGTTCCCCAGAGCAACTGAAGATAAGGTGAAAATTAAGAAAAACAAATGTTGGCTTGCATTATATAGCTTACTGTAATTTCATACCAGTATTTTCCTCATTCCTACTGAACGATTTGACTAAATATTTTTATGACTTTTTTCTTAGATATGACTTTTTTCTAAGATACGAAATCAAGCACAGTTGGAATAAGTGCTTGTTGTGTTATTACAGCTCATTATAGCACAATGTGTGGGGGAGGGAGAAATAAAACCTCACTATATCAGAAATTAAATCTTACTTTATCAGAATACCATATTTCATTTCACAATCTAAGATCTGGGTCCAGCCTGTACCAGGACCTATTGCAGTAATTGAGCACATGCGAAATCCATCAAGTTTCCAGAACAAGCTGGCAGCTGCTTTTGTTGTGAATTTATATGCTGTTGTTTTGAATGTCCTGACTCCAACTCTGAGGCTGGAGTAGGATGGGATGTGCTTTGTGGGGATCTCTACCCAACCCAAAAAATTATCACTGAGATATGAAAGAAATGTGAAAAACTGGATTGTTTAATAGCAAAATTATGTAAAACAATTCCACTTGGAGGTCATATTTCAAATGAGGTTATCGGGAAGGTGGTTTGGTGATAAATGAAGTCAGAAATCGTAATTGATGGCTTATGTGCTGTCTTATCTTAAAGAAGAATGGTAAAATATTGAAAACAGGATTGTTAAAAGCATGATTAAGTTTTTATTAAACCTCAGATGATGAACTGATGATATTAATATTTCGTTTTAACTGTATTCATACAAGTAAAGGATGTTTCTGATTACTGATTTAATCATCTTTTCTCTCAGTTAGTGCATGCTGATCAAAACATTATGAAAATGTTAAGACAGATTTTAAGCTGAAAATGAATTTTTGATGGTTGGCACACATGGACACCCCCATAAGGGATTTGATGCAAAATGATACCTGCCATGTACAGTGTGAGAGTCAGCTGACACTTCCTCAGCGTGTGTAGACAGTATTTAAGCTGGGAAAAAGAAGTTGTTTGCTGCCAGTTTGCCTCTTGTCTTATCAGAAGGGTTCACACTGTGTGCTTTGTGCAGAAATCATTCAAGTCATTCTGTTTTGTTTGAGACAAGGGCAAAACAAAGACACCACTTGGACACTTTATTAAACATCATTAATTTTAAGCTTTTTCTTTTTGGGCAATAGTTCTAAAGTGTTAGACTTGGGAGAGTTGTACAACTCCAAGCTTTTGCACCTACTATGAATACCAGCATCTTGTCTGTGTTAATTCTAGTTATTTTGGTGGGAGTTAACTGCGGATTTCGGCCACGAGGCTCATTTCACAGTGATGATGGAGGCTGGGATCCAGATAACTGGATGAAATGGATCCGCAACTCTGAGCGCCGTGATCATGAACGAGGAAACAGAGGGAACAGAGGGGAACAGCCAGGAGAGTTGGATGAGGATGAACTTGCACCAGAACTTTTTATACCCACAATAGAACCGCTGCCTTCTACTTCAGAACCAGATGTGAACTTCAACATTAAAGTTGGTGGACTTAAGTGAGTATATTGTCTTTTGATTTTTTTTTTTTTTTTTTGGGGGGGGGGGGAAATTTTTGGATATGTCTTTAAATTGTGGGAATGACTTTTCATTGAAGTCATTCCCACAATTTAATATTAATAAAATAATTTTGTGCCTGATTTAATTGTTTTTCAAATTGATTTCAATCATGTAGTGACATGAAAGTTGATATCTACTTCAGAAAGTGAATATATATACAATTTGAATTTGTGGAATGGTGATTTTCATTACATCTTGATTTGTTTACATGTGACTTGCGTAGATGTATATAGCCTTAACTAAATTTGCTCTTTGTCAATCTCTGAAGTAATTGCAAGTATCATAGATAATGAACCCATTGGCTTTAATAAGATTTCTTGCCAAAACATTTTTAACTTTTATAAGTTAATATAATCAACATATGTTTGCCAATATGTTGTCCAAAAATTAAATTTAATTTAATTTAAAAAAATGGAAGAATATCCTGTAAGCATGAGCTCCACATACATTTCTCAGTTGGCCACAAAACAAATGTTCAGTCATGTGCTGTCCACTATATGGTAGGTTGGTATAAACACACCAAAAGTGTTTTCATGGAATATGTTCTTGTGATTGAGAAAACAGACAGACTTAATTGGAATATGTGATCATAAGCACTTTACAATACTGGTAAATGTTTCAGCACTCCAAAACACTGGGCCACTTTGATCGTTACTTTCTAAATTGATAATGACTTGTGCTGTTTTTGTGTTTTCAACCCTGTAAAGTTTCTCAAAAGAATGCCTATGTTAATTATGCTATTTCAGTAAATATTGTGGCAATGTGGCAAACTGCAGGAATATACAATGGCTATCCATTGACAACATCTAGTTACTTATTGTAACCTTCATTTAGAAGCTATGTAATTGCAGTTGCAAATGACCATGATGTTTCAAAACCTTATGTAATATTCCAATGCAAGTTTTCAAAAGAGTTGTGTCTTACTGTTCCTTAATAGTCAATGTTGATTTGATTTAATTTGGTAGAATCAGAATTTGATTGTGTTAAACCCTTATTTTATTTTATACATTTTACTTTTTTGTAGAAATTGAATATTTAGTCTTGATTTGATTAAATTTGGTAAAATGTTAAAACAGCTTTGTACAGGTATATTTTCTATTTCTTCCTTTTCAGCCTGGGATGGGATGGTATTTTTTCACAATCTGAAGGGAAATGGCCAAAATTCTTTAGAAGAATATTTAGTGGTCCACCAAAACCCTGGTGGAAAGGGTGAGTTTAAGGATATGTTTTGAACTTTTTTCTTTAAATTAGAGGATTTTGCATCTGAAATACTTTCTTTAACTGCAGTACTTGTAATATGGTCAACTTATTATATATCATATACATTTGTGTAGAATTTAAAAATGCCAATTTTTAATATGATAAGATTTCATAAAAATGTGTTTTGCAATATATTCCAGTGTATTATTCTTTATTGAATTGGTTTGTCACTGACATATGAATATAAAACCGCTCTACACAATGAAAAGAAAGAAAATTGTGTCCAAAATTAGTTTGAAAGATTCTTTTTTTAGTTTGTGAACAAATTACATCTATATATGTTTGAGAATATCTTGTGCTTTATTCACAGCACATTAGAGGGAAACTAGTAACTACACAATTGGCTATATTTGCAGTTTTTCTATTGGGAGCTTTAAAAAACAATTTCCAGTTGGTTAGATGATATTAGTTGTTATCTTAAAGGGATAATAACTCTTCGTTTTGGCCAAAAAATGAATATTCCTGGAGTAAACAACAATTTTCCCATACTTACTAATGGTTAATGAATCCATTTTTACATTCAAAGTTAGTCCCTGTTTTTTTTTTCTAAAAAGTTTGAGTATAGCCGTCAATGGAGGTCATGTGGTCTAAAGACAAGCTCAGATATCAGAATAATAGTTATAACTGCCATTTTTGTGGTAAAACAGAATATACTCTATTTTATAAGTTGTTTACAATGTTTTTATTGTGAAATATAGATCTCATACGAAGAGTTATTATCCCTTTAATATAGGAGTTCAACGAAATTAAGAATTGCAAATTTTTAAGTGTTGGGGTATGTCTTCTCACTTTATTTATCATAGTGTATACACATGGGTAATATCAAAGCTAAGAACACACACTTGGGTATAAGCTAGGGCAGTTATCTAATGAAACTTCAATGGGTCCTTATCAAATTTCAGTTATAAGACAATAAGCCTATTGTATATCATGTGAAAAAATTATCCAAATATTAAACATTTTGATATATAAGAAAATAAACCAAACAAAGTCCTCTAGTTGATATAAATGATTTTCAGAGGCAAGCAAATAAAATTGTCGAGTTGTTTTCCCTTTGCTTCTTTGAAATAAAAACACCAACACAAAAAGATTCAAGTCCAGCATTCAAGTTCTCTGCTTCTAGTAATCTTAACCATTGCAATTTTTTAGACCTAATGTGTGTGTGACCAGAGAAGAGAGGAATGAGACTGTTCCAGGTATTGTGACTCACCACAGAGTGTTTGCCAACTCCTACTGTGACGAAACAGAAACATCATACAAGTGCACTACAGAGTAAGAAAAACTTGTGCACTTAGTTTCTTAACATATTTTTTATTTGTTTTATTTGTCATAAAAACTATTTATTTGTTTGTGATTCAATCATGCATTCATTTATTGATTTTGATTCTTTCTCATGCCTTCCTTTTTTTTTCTTGGTCTCTCACTCTTTTACTCTCTATTTAATAGTATGCATCTTTTGGTGAGTATATATAAAGACTATAAAAGCATGCACTCTGACCACTGGGTACACTATATTAGTCTATTACAAAATTATTGCATGGCATACTTAAATTTTGTATACTATTTTAGAGACCCCTGATATCAAAGGGTAATAAAAGCACAGGAAGAACTGTATTCTGCTATCTTGTCTTCAAAACTATAAATTAACTCCAGCAAACTGATCTGGCTTCAATTCAAGCATTATCTTTTATAAAATTGCATTTCACAGCATCACAGTCTATGGTATCAAGAGGTCATTTGTTGTTACCTATGAATGTTGCCATGGTTTCGAAAAACCAGCAGGGGCATCTGGATGCACTAAGAGTATGTATTAGTTCTTGATGTTAGCAATATCATTATGTATTATTAGGAACCTATATGATGCTAGACTTTTTCCCTTTTAAACAGTTGTCTTATGTGAGATTTACCAGTACTTATGGTTCAGAACAAACAAACAACAAAAAAATGAATTAAATTATAACCAGTTTGATCTTTTTGTATTAATTCCTGTTCATTCGTAGTGTTTTATTTTCATTGCACAAAAAGGAAGAGAGAGACTTCTTTCCATATTATTAAGCAATTTGAGAAAAAATTCAATAATATTAAGCAATTTGAGAAAAAATTCAGTGTGTCTGTAAATTGTGAGTTCAAGGGGGAGTAGAGCAAGTGCTGCCAAACAACCAGTGCATCTGCCATTTCAGTGCAGAAAAAAATTAGATCTGGGTGGTTGACCCCCCCCCCCCCCAAATTCTGTCAAGAAAAGTTTCTCTTTTTTATCTGAAAGTTTACTTTCTGCCACATGGGATTGTCACTACATCCCTTTCACATTTGAATAAAAAAACAACAGTTTATAAATACTTCATTCTGTTTCCTGTGGAGAGTTTTAACACAAATGACTGTGCTTTTAAGTACATGGTTAAAAAAAGAAGACCTAAAGAGTTCTTGAAAAATAGAAGAATGAATGTATAAAAAAGTTTTGAGTGTTTTTGGATCAATGTCTGACTTAAAAATGCTAGTTCTGTTAGTTAAATGTATTTAATTGGGATGAACATCATATCAATTTTTTTTTAATGGCCATTTACATTTGAATATTTCATTTGAAAAAATGAAATGTTCTAACATTCTCTATAGAATATATAAGTTCCATTTTAGATTAGTTTTTTTTTATTTCAAGAAAAACTACATTTTGTCACTCTGAGACCTTTTTTATAATAGAATTAGTATTGAAGAACTTGGTGGAGACTGCCAGAGATCTGGACTCAGATGAGTTCTTAAGGGCTGTGGACAGTGTTGGTCTAACAGATACCTTGAAAGTTGAAAATCTAACATTGTTTGTACCAACCAATGAGGCTATCAAGGCATACCTGGAGAAAGACTCACAGGTAATTATACTTACTGTATCCACTGACACACTAAGGATTTATACTTCCTCCGAAAATTTGGGGCGGGGGGAGGAGGAATCTAGGAAGGACATTCTCTTACTTTCATTTAACATATTTGCATGCATGCAAAATGCAAAAAATAAATAATAATAATAATAATAATAATAATAATAATAATAATAATAATAATGATAATAATAATAATAATAATTAAATATTAATAATAATAACGTAATGTAAGAAAAGCTTAATAGTGTTTCCTGTATCACTGTTGGCCCCCTGGTTAAGTCAATAATACTCTTCACTGTAAATTGGTTTGCTTTCTAGCATAAATACTATTTGGATACTATCTTGGCTAAAATTTTGAAATTAACTTTGGGTTCTTTTAAGTTTTATAAACAAAACCATTTTAAAATTAATGCTTACTAGGCTCATGTTTTTTTGCTTAAGTTGATTTCATATTATAATCAACAGGAACTAAAGTGCGTCAAATGCTGTATCAGATCAAGGAGTTACAACTGTTGTAACTCCTTGATCAGATGTTTTTTTATGAGAGAAAGATGGCTGTGTAGATACTGCATTTGGTACTTCACCCTTTTCACTGATACAGTTTTACTTTTGGTTAGAAAAATTAATTCTAATAGAGAATTGATTCTTAAAGATGCTGTTTTAGATTATCTAACAGTTTTTTATAGATGAAGATTTATTGGGTGTATTTGGCAAGAGAAATGTTTGTCAGATGTTTTTAAGTGGAAAAAAGCAATTTTTTTTTGGTTTCATTCCGGCATGTGTTCTTTATAAACCTTGTCTTGCAATAAAAAGGCCCATAGTTTTCAGACATCTGGACCTTTCTACATGCAAAAGGTTGCAGTGACTTAATGGCTGCCATCCAATCCTTTCTTCTTGAATAACATCCTAGCTTAAAAACATCTTATGAAACAACCATGAGTCATTTGTCCAAAATCCAACACTGCTTGCAATATTAGGAACCTTATGTAAGTAAAAGAGGTTTAAGGAAATAACATGCTAACTTTTGAATTGGCTTATCAGAAACAAACCATTGCAGCTCCTAATACAAATATATATACTTTCTCACAGTCCTAGAAATAAAAGTTGTTATTGGAAAAGTTTCAAAATTTAATCAAATTTAAGCAACGCACACTCTATCAAATTTAAAGAAAAACTATAGTAAGATATAAAAGTAAAAGGTTGCATGTTTCAGAAGCTTCTCCCTGGTGTTATATTAGTGGACGGGACCCTTGCAGAGATGGCCAGTGACCTGCGGGCAGTACTTGAGGGCCATGTGGTGCCTGGCTTCCTGAAATCAAGCAACTTCACTGATGAGAACCTTATCAGTACAGTGCTGCCACCTGTCAAGTTAAGGACCAACCTTTATGATGTGCCACGCAGGGTAAGATGAGGACACATCCCAGTTAATTCTGATAAAACCAATACTATTTTCTTAATTTTAGACAATTAATTATGACTTCTTTCATCTTTAAACCTTACAAATACATTATCATAAAGATTTACATAAAAGTTTTCATTTACAATTCCATTTTATATGTTTTTTGTACACGTT